TATATATATATATATACCTACCCTGTAAACATTTTAAAAATTAATCTCCTTTTCTCAAGCCAACTAATCAAGCACCTTGAAACTATTACTAAAACTAACTTTTACAGAAACTAACTCTGGCATATCTACTAATTTTAGAAGACAAAGGGCTTTAGAGAGTCTCTACTTGTTCACCATCAATTCTAATTTTAAACAAAACAATAATTCCAATGTATTAAAAGGGAATAACCAGGTTTAACCCTTTGAGTGCCAACCAATATCCTAGGAACTATGCTAAAATTGCCAAGGCATTTTTGCTGATTTTATAGCAGTTTAGGGAAAAAATTATGAATCGCAAGTAAATGAAGTTACATATTCAAAAACTTAAGGAAACCTTTACTACATTGACATATTTAGCAATATCATCATCACTAATAAAAGCAGACTTAGAACTGGACGCCGTTTCAAAGCTTTGATAGTGCTCCTGGCACTTTTCGCGAAAGACAGGAGGAGCGCGATCACAATCCCCGGCACTCAAGGGGTTAAAAATTCCTATCCTTCATTTGTCTGGTTGCATGGAAAGAAAACTAGAACCATTGACTACAAGTTATCTATACTAATAAAAGCATAATATGCTAATTAGATTGGACATCTTTCCAGACGAAGCCGGGGCTGCGAGGGCCGACCTCTAGTATACATTATACAATCAGATTCTGACCAAGTTTAGCAGCACAAAAAGATGGAACTACCGATTATTGGATCTGCCCAAAGAAAGGAGGACAGGCTGCCATACTGGAATGCTGAGGAAAGGGTTCCTGAGAGAAAAAAAGTCTATCAAAAGCAACGAACAGCCCTGCAGCGTGGTTCAGTGGGTGAGCATCGACCTATGAACCAGGAAGTCACGATTCCATTCTCAGTCAGGGCACATGCCCTGGTTGCGGGATCCAACCCCAGTAGGGGGAGTGCAGGGGGCAGCCAATCAATGATTCTCTCTCATGATTGATGTTTCTATCTCTTTCTCCTGGAGTCTCCCTTCATCTCTGAAATCAATACAAATATATTAAGAAAAAAAAGGCGCAACTCTGATCATCTGAAAGCAACAGGACTCTTTAATATCAGATAGAAGAAGCGGGACAGACACACAGTGACGATATCACAAACCATACCTTGCCAATGTCTCATACATCGTGCGTGCAACTTCCTTATATGCATGAAAATCATATGGAACAGCTTGAAGATTAGGACAAAGTTGTTTAGCGTACCCAAAAAACATTCCATTCTTAATACCAACTTGTCTAGAGAAAAAAAAAAAGACATAATGGAAGTTATACTAAAAAATATTAAATGCAAAATAAAGTATCAAATACGTGATACCATATCCCAAGCCCCTAATACACTAATTTTCATTTAACTCCATTCTCATTAGGGATAAAAATAAACATAAAAATACCTTACAGGTTTGTCTTCCCCCCAAAGGAGAATTCCACAATTGTCTGATTAGTGTGAATGACACATGGAGATTTGCCAAAATATGCTATCACAATGTTTGCCTCCTGCTGGCAATGGAAGATTTCTCCTAAGACTCACACCTTTGGCCCCTTTGCAGACACCAGCTCCATGTGCTGGAGATATCTCAACCACAGGGAGCAGGAATCCAAGAGAGGCTTTCTTTCTGACACAGGAACCATTTGGCCAGGACTCATCCCCCAAAGACAAAATATAAACAAAAGACTATACAAAGCAGCGCTATGTGACCAGCAGACAAAATGTACCCGTCCCACTACCACCCGGTTCCCACTGACCAATTCCAAGCTCCGCAGGTGCCTCCACAGTGGCTGAGATGCCAACAGCACTGTGTATGGCAGGACATCAGTCTGGGCAGGAGCCAGGGTTCTAGCACTTTGAGGGATCTAATTGAAAATGGTAAATTTTACATCTTGTTGTGTGCCTCAATGCCCCACACTACCTTTGATATCTGGAGCATTCAGCACAGAAGTATAACTGTGGACTTCTACATAATTAGTAAAATTCCATTTTACTCCTCTATAATGAATCAAGAAAAAAAGGTAAAAACACAAGCAAAATAATGAGCAATGTTTTCACCAGATTATATACTCCTATGGAAATACATCAAGTGGTTATTCTATACATACATTCAATAAATATTTACTAAGTGCTTACTTAGTATGGCGTGTGCTCTGTTTTAAGAAACGTAGTCTAATTACTGAGAGGCCTCTGGCATCCTCCCATCTGAGACCAAAAGTGAAAGCCAAGAAAAAAAGAATCCTCCAACTTACACACAAAAAAATGCAAAATCACATGCATTTCTCATATATACAAAAACAGTTATAATTATCTAACTGCAAAGCCCCTAATAAATGAGAAAGATCTAACAGAAAGAAAAAATGACCATAAAGGAAGTGATGACAGACAAAACAGAAGGTAAAACAAATTATTTTATTCATTTCACAAAATTTTATGTCTCAGGCATTTTGGGAGGTGGTAGATAAGAAACGTGAATGAAACTAGCCTCAGGACGATCATGAGGATGTCTGCCTTCATCCCCCCAAGAATGGATATAATCAATGGGTCTTCATTAGTACGGTAGGGCAGTATATATACAGGGGTGGGGCAAAAGTAGGTGTACAGCCCCGCCTGTGGGCTCCATTCCCGGTAAGGGGGCATGCAGGAGGCAGCTGATCAATGATTCTCTCTCATCGTTGATATTTCTATCTTCCTCTCCCCTCCTCTCTGAAATCAATAAAAATATATTAAAAACAAAAAGGTGTCCAGTTGTGAGTACATGAAACGAGTTTATTCTTGTATTATTATCACTTATTGTAATATTTTCCATATGAACACCAGTAAACCTACTTTTGCCATAATATTTAGAAATGTAAATATTTTACCCAATAGTGTAAAATATTTTACATTATTGGGTAAAATATTTCCAATGCTAGGTATATAGGTTCAGCCTATAAAAGCTAAACTTACAAAAGTAATTATTCATTTTTAAAGAAATGTGTTACATGATTCCTATAAACATCATATTCTTAGATTTACAATAATTTCCTTTTCAAAATTTTCACTTATACAAAATGTTCAGGGCCTAACACTTAGAAAAATAGAATACAGCTCCTCATGTACTCGTGCAAATGGACATCCTGAGACAAGTGTTTAGGAGCCACTGGACACTGTAAGGACGCTACAAACAAAAAAGGAAATCCAAGAGGTTTCCATAACCAAGGGAAGCAAAATACCTTGAGTAGATGGTTGAGAAATGAGATTTGTTTCAAAGTTACTCTCTACTACAATGACTTCTTTCTTATTCCTCCCGCTAAAGTCCCATGCAGTGTACACACCAATACTTTCTGAGTGTGTGTGGCAGAAACAGCTGTTCCCAGTTCACGCAGCAGAGATCATGCTTTTTCTGGTCACATACTACACTCAGACAATTATTTTTGATGTTGGATAGACAATATAAAAAAAATTAACCACTGAGTCATTTCCATGGTCGATTTAGTATACAAGACATCTATGTCGCTGAGAAGAGCAAAGGGTCCTTACAAAAGCCCATAAAAGCAGGTTTAAAAATTATCTGATCTTAAAAATCTATGATTCTAGGATATCTGTATATCATCTATTCATCTACATATCTACCTTCTCACTTATAGACAAAGCGTGTTCTTTCAGTAAGTATGGGTAAAACTACTAACAATAATGCATATTCTGACCTACATTCACACAGCCTCCTTTCTGTAACTTCCACCAGCTGGTGTCCACATTCCATCCTTTGCTAACTCCATTATTAATCTGTCTACTGAAAACTCATCAATGCACAAAGCTGGGCTAACCATCCCCACAAGTCCAGTCTCCACTCCCAACCTAGAAATCTCTGATATAATTGTGAATATATTATTTTAAAAATCTTCCCACTTAGCCGAAACCGGTTTGGCTCAGTGGATAGAGCGTCGGCCTGCGGACTAAAGGGTCCCGGGTTCGGTTCCAGTCAAGGGCGTGTGCCTGGGTTGCGGGCACATCCCCAGTGGGAGGTGTGCAGGAAGCGGCTGATCGATGTTTCTCTCCCACCGATGTTTCTAACTCTCTATCTCTCTCTCCCTTCCTCTCTGTAAAAAAATCAACAAAATGTTTAAGAAAATAAAAATGAAAATGAAAATTTAGAGACTTTATAAAAAAAAAATCTTCCCACTTAAAGAAAATATAACTATTTGATAGCCACAACAAAAGGGTATCCAAAAATTGTTTTCTGGAGACCTTCCTTAGCAATGAGCCATCTAGAAAATGGAAAATTATAATTAAAAGACCAAAACTCCACTATTGTGGTTTTTGTGGGTTTTTCCCCAACTTAAACTCAAATTCATGCTCATCATTTCTGCATCTCCTTAAAATAAACATCTGCCATTTAAGTGGCATTTAAATGGCTTGCTACATACCATTTGGCCCTCATACACCATGAGCCCAATTGTTCTGTAATAACTCAGCTTGACAACCACCATCTGTGATACAGGTGCACCATCCAAACCCCAACAGAAGCCTGGAATCTAGATACAAGTGTGGCTCTGGAGATCCAGACCCACCAGGAGCTGGAACACTTCTACTTTGGAGGCAGCCTCAGCAGCCAATCCAGCATTCAGCTTGGGGGCACAGAGTGAGAAGAGAGATCCTAAAGAGGAGCACAGAAAGGTGGAGCTTTCACTTCATCAACCAGCAAAACCCAAAGTCTGAGAGAGGATCTGGGCTTCATCACACCCTCCAGATATGGGACACAACTGTCAGCCATCAGAAGCACAAGTCACTGTTCAATAACTCAGTCGGGGAGAAAAACACCGGCCTATTGGGCACAACATGAGATCAGCTCTAACTTGCCTCTGCTAACAAATAGACTAGTCCAAAAGGCATTGGTAGTTGACAATTATTTTTTTACTAAAGTAAATTTTAACTCAGTTACATTATCAACAAACAATGAAATAAATTAAAACAATTTTGTCATCAAAGGCAAAGTTAGTTTAGCAGTAAAAGTTTGACATGGCACAAGTGGAAAATACTTTAAAATATTTTATAATTATACACAGATGATGCTTTTTCCTTAAAGATCCTCTTATAAAACAATTGGAAAATTTTAAATAAACTATTTTGGTTGGATGACGTTGAGTTGAAAATTTTTGTTCAGATTAGACTTGCTTAAATAACCCCAACTTTTAATTGAGACTGAAATATGTTACATATATCGAATCATAATGTATACCTGAAATTATATCTCAACTTTTTTAAAAGTATGAATGACAAAGCCACAAGATGCTACCTACTTCTCTCTCAAAAAATAAATAAAATACTGAAAAATATAATTGATGTAAGACTGTTTTTATAAATTTTAAATTAAATACTTTAACACTTGCCAACAATGTGTAAATGCCTGCTGAATAAAGGTAAAAATGTCCGTGTTTAGTTGTAAGAAAAAAAAAAGACTGCTCTTTTTAATTAATTCATTGTTACTCCTTCTACTTTCACAACTATTATAATAGATTTTTAAATGATTGATTTTTTTTAAGTATGAGAAACATATATATGTCTGTTTCTTCTTATATTGAGACAGCCAACAGTAATTAAGGTATAAGCTTACTATAAGATAAAGATTCACAAAGCTGGTGCTAACAAGTAGACAACACTGCAATTATAAGTGAGATTATTGAGTAGGCCAGTATGGAATTATTTACTTTTAACTTAATAGGCAATCAAGTTTTAACGTAATTTTTAAAAGAAACTGAGTATTAAGGGTTAATATCATAAAGGATTTTTCTTAGCTGTTAAAGGAATGATTAGAGTAGATGAACACTACAGCCTCTCCCATTCAAAAGTATCTAATTCTTTAATTCCATGCTTCAGAAGACAATGGTTTAAAAATTAGTGTCCAATTTCTTTTGATTTCCACTGTAGAACTTATGGGTTCCTCAGGAAACTATTTATCAAATGTTTTCTACAGCCCTAGCTGGTTTTCCTCAGTTAGAGCGTTGGCCCATGGACTGAATGGTCACAGGTTCGATTCCAGTCAATGGCATGTACCTCGGTTGCGGGCTCAATCCCCGGCTTGCAACCGAGGTACATGCCTGGTTGGGGCATGTAAGGGAAGCAACCAATTGATGTTTCTCTGTGTCTTCCCTTTCCTTCCATTCTCTCTTAAAAAAAAAAAAAAAAAAAGCCCTGGCGGGTGGCTCAGGTGACTGCAATGTCGTCCTGTACGGCAAAAAAGTTGCAGGTCTGACGCCCAATCAGGGCGTATACCCAGGTTGCAGATTCCCTCCCTGGCGGGAACAAATATAATATTTGTATTTGCATGTGGCCTGCGGGGCCGTAGTTTGAAGACCCCTGTCCTAGAGTGAGGATCAACAACAACAACAAAAAGAAATCTACATTTGTAAGGTGGCGGGGAGGGGGGGAAGAAATGGAAAGAATTAAGGCTAGAAATATTTCTTTCCATACATGTCTGTATATTTTTAAATCACAGGCCTGACTACCATGTCTGAATCCACTTCCAAAGATTATATGAAAAAATTAAGTACAATTAAACCATTCCTAAATATTATAACATAGCTAATTTTCACATACCTGGCTTCATAACTGCAAGATGCAATTTCAGCCTTCGACAAAACAGAGTCAATTCCATTAGTATGCACAGAATCTTGATTCTCCCACAGTGATGAATCTGGTATATCTGCTTTAAAAATAATAAAATTTAATGATTATATGTTAAAAACTGGTTTTCCTTAACTTCCATTCAAAAAAAGTATTTTTCATTCCTTTCTTATACAAATAAATTTATAAATAAAAAATAAATGTATATGTAAGTTGAGCAAACTCCAAATATAGTTTATCCCCATTGGTATTTATCTTATTTAATAAAAGGAAATCTGTAATTCTAAAATGGTTTGTTTCCATTAAGTTTTCTACTAGCAGACAGATAAAAACTTGGAATAAATGGAAAGTATTCTGTTTTAATAATACATTGTAAAAAATGATCAAAAGCTAAATATGAAATATCCCCTGAACCCAGTCTCTTGTATGGACAAGGATGAAAGGTGATCAGGATGAGGAACCCCTCCTATAGCCTCAGAGGATTAAGTAGCGCGCTCTCATGGGAAACGGTTAAGGGAAAATATAAACCTCTCTAAATGTTCTTTGCTGTTTCCTAAAAGAACTGCAATACTTAAAACTAATTAACATGTTCAACAAAGATCAAATTCCTACAAGTCATTTGATCAAACAATGGCTTAGTAGGTCATATACCATAAAAAATTTTCATCCTAAATTTAAGACTTTTCTTTTGAACATATGTCAGGTAAAAGAGCTTCACATTATCCCCCCTTCCAGAAAATTCTACTTTTGATTTAACAATGCAGGTTCAATTAAACATTAAGTGTGGTCAGAATACCAACTGCTTCATGGAAGGCAACTCCGGCCTAAATAGTACAGCTCACCAGTATCTCTTCCTATCCAAACCAAACTGCCTGCTTCACACACAAGTGTAAGAGTCTGCGAACTACAGGCACTTCACTTCCTTTGGACCACCTTTGGCCTCCCTCATACTGAGAAACAGATGAAAACACAGCTTCAGTTACAGTCTTGGATAATGCTAAAGGCTCCAAGAAGAATATGCTTTAAAAATATAATTCTAAAAAGTCTCAGCTACAGTTCTATTATGAACAAAAATACCATTAGTTAGTAAAACCAGACCAATATACACCACTTCAGCTAATTCTAGACAAACCTATTCTGAGTATATTGTAGCAACGCAACTCAAAGCTCAGCATTTCTCTTCGACTTTTTTCAGAGACATAATTTCCATAAAAAAATCAGCCAAGTTAAAGCACTACCAGAAAAATATGGCTAGGTGTCTGGCTTTCTGGGCTAAAACAACTGTTCCTGGTTTGACTCCAGTAGTCAACATCTTTTTACAAACTATGCAACCCATATAAGCATTTCTGGATTCGGCACCCATACACGCAAAGCATAAATGCAAACCAAACTCCAAGGACTGGCATCTTAATGAGGTCATATCCCACTTACATAAAAAATAAAAACAGCAGAGTATATAATTAGAGCTATGATTTCTGATATATTGTGACTAATATGTGTTAAAGTATGACAAGTTAAGGACAGAATGCAAAACAGACTACTTCTGAAGCGTCTTAGAAGACTACATAGCAGCTTTAATAGCCCATTACTCTAAGCTGAAAATCCTTGAGAATTTCAGGATTGTATCACAGTTCAAGAGGCTACAACTAAACAACAATAACAAAAAGTTGAAGCTTGAACAGCCACAACCAGCTGCTTTTCAAATGTATAACCATGAGCTATGCATTAAAAGTTGGGGAGTTAGATGACTTATATTTGAAAGGCTAGTTAAATAGTCTAAGATACCCGTCTTAAGAATTACAGAAACCATGCTTGAGGTGAGAACAGTATCTGAGGTCCCTGCGCTCCCAAGGCCCTGCCTGAGAGGCAGCGCCTGGGGTTCCCCTTGGCTGGGCTGGCTGACCTTTTCCACTGTGCAGCAGAGTGCGTGGATCCCTCCACCAGCGGAGTGTGTTGCTTCAAGGGAGATTCGGGGAAATGCAGGGACACACTGTCCTCACTGGAGGGCAAAGTAGAGAACTGCTCATCAAAACTTGACAAACTAGACGGGCACATGGAGAATGTGGAGGAACGGTTGGAGAAATCAGAGGCCAGGACCCAAGTCTGTGAAAAAGAAATCGCTGAGAATAAATCTATGGCTAGTACGAATTTTAAAACTGTTGTTCTTTAGAATGAACACTGAAGTTGTTGAAAGGACAGGAAACACTGCATCATGGAATCCCGGGAGGGATAAAAAGGCCCAACCATGATATCTCGAGTATAAAGGGATTCCAGATAATGAGGGTCATCAATGAGAAGTGGCATCACTGAGCATCGCTCAGGAGGCAGCTAACCAAAGGAAGCCACGATGGAGAGTCCTGCTTACACTGTTAGACAAGAGTTTCTGAATATGACCAATAAGAAAATAAAGCTTTTACAAAGGGCTAAAGATGCTACTTGGTCTAATACTCTGCCTAGACATACAAGTCAAAACATTAGAAATGAATTTATTTTTAAGGTTAGTGTGCAGAAGCCAAAGATTCTAATTCCTAACTTTATCCTCAAAATTTTACAATTTGGTATCATATCTAATAAGGACCCAGAGAAAGATAGGAAATAAAAAGGAAAGAGGAACAAGGGCATTGATAAAACAAGTACTAAGTAACAAGTTCTAAGTGCAAACTTAGTTGCAACCAAACTTTATAATAAGGGGCAATCTATCCATTTTATATGTGGCAATTATTTTGGTAAGCTCTTAATGGGTCAAAAGGCTTAGAACACAAAAGTGAATGACATGAAGTTAAGAGAAAGAATATAAAGTACAAAGTATCATATTCATCTCTTCTAGTGACAAAAAATCTATTTTTGACAGTTTTCAAAGGCAAGTGAAATTTCAATATTTCTCCTAATATTTACCTTCCAGTTTACCATCCACACAAGAGATGGAGGGATGTGAATTAGAAAAGGTCATTACAATGTCATGAAAATCCAGTGGCTAAACTGATGAAGACCAGTAGCAGTAAGTTTTGTTAACAAACTGGTTATGGTCAGATCATTTGTGAATGAAAGGAAAGAGTAAGAGGACTGGCTCTCAGCTACTCCTAAGAAAAGCTTGCTTGACAAGGTCAAAATTCCAGATGCAAACTGTGGGAATAAGAATGTGTGTGGCAAACACATTTTTACCCAGAAACTGAGCACTGAGTACCTGAGAGATGTTACTGACTAGTATGCACATAATATTTTCTCCTTCTTTCAACGTTCATTCAGTAAGTTTTTACTAATGTCCAATATGTGACAAGTGTTGTGCATTTCCTTAAGCTACTTGGTTTCTAATACCACACAGAAAATACAGAAAGAAAACCACAAAACCATACGACCAATACTTATGAAACTGCCCATATTGTCAAATACCGCAATACAGCTAAATCTCAATAACCTCAAAATATTCACTACCTCAATATCTACTCATGACACTCAAAATATTAGAACCTTAAAAATCTCTTAAAAGATTTAAAGACCGAGAAAAGCTTTAGGTAATCTGGAAAGTACAGACACACATGAAGCATAAAGATGTACTAGTATGTATCTACAATTATTTTCTTTTATACCTGTACCATGTAAAAAGATCATCACAACCAACAAAAAGATTAATCCAAAAAAGAGGCCTTCGTGATGTCAACTAGCTTTCCTATGGCCTTAATTTCATTGAGATCATTGCTAAAACAAACCTAAGGTTTCATAACTGAAAATTTAGGGACCTGAAATAATTGGGATGAAATTTAACTGCACACTTTCCATTCCACTGTACAGCTAATTTCTGACTACTTTCTCATTAGCGTTTTTCTGACAAACAACAAATGTTTTGACAAACTAAAACATTTTTTGGCTTTGCAAACATCCACGAAGAAACTGATTAATGTTAAAGAATTTAATTTCTAAGCAAATACTTCTCAGGAAATATACTCAGGAGAAAAAAAATCCACAAGAAAATCTTAATAGTATTTTGATAAATTTATGATTTTTATTTTATTAATAGCCAAAATTTAAAAGCCAGAGAGATAAGAAAATGTTCCTAATATGAAATAGGTTCAACAAAGATATGAGGAATGATTGCTGATATTTATCTTCTTATTCCAGTAAACAAATGTCCTACTCTATATAATTCTCCACTGCCTCATACAAGTCTTTAGCAGCATAAACTTTAGCGTCTTTACTGTAATCAGTGACCAAACAACTAGCAATTAACTTGCGAGTCTAGAAGCTTCCACAAAATAATGCCCATGATTTTTATCCCCAATCTAAATTTATACAAAGCAAACTAATCACAACTTCTAAAACATTTTTCACTCTCTGTACCAGGAAAATATCATCATCCAATTCAACCAAGCAAAACTATAAGTCAGTCGTAGATATTATTACATTTCAATTTTGCTTTAAGGTATCACTGACACCTTAGAGCACTTGAATGAAAAAGCTAATTAATTCAACTGCTTTTGTTGCTGTAACGACAGTACCAACAGCAAAAGCGAGAAATCTTCAACAGGAGCACTACGACTTCAAAGAGAGCTCATGATTTGTACCTGCTTTGCCTTTCAGGATTTTATTCTGGTAATACTGCCACTCCAACTGGGGGTTAGCTCCAGGACGTAGAGGTGCCCTTCCTGTGCCTCTGTTACTTGTAACAGCCACGGGTTTTCCTGGGAGGAAAAGAATAAAATTATTTTAAAATCTAAGTACAGGGAAGTTAAGAACACTAACAATATGTAAAGGAAAAATTTTCAAAAGATTTAAAAAACATGACATTTTTTCTTTAGCTTTATTTAGGCATTAATCCATAAAGGAGCTATTATTATCTTTGAATATTATCAATCACCATGTACAAATCATTTAAGTTTCTCAGCACACCCCAAAAAAGTAAACTACTGACAATTTGGATGCATTTATTCAACTTTAAAACAACATTATCACCTAGCTTTCCATGGTTTTTGTTTGGTTTCTTACAGTTGGAAAACAGGCAACTCAGATCCTAGGTTTAGACTGGAGGGGCTAAGGAGAGAAGGAACTAACTAATCTAGATTTTTAATATTTCCGATATCAGAAAAATAGAGCAATACCTAAACAAACCTAATTTTACACCAAGAGACACAACATATATGCAGAGGAATCACAACCTCACCTACTATTTAATCAAATGTTCAGTATATAGTCCTATTTTGGTTTATTTATAAAAATGTTTCAGTATCACTTCTGCATGTGTGTGTTAAGTTATGAGATAACTGTAACTTCTAAAACTACAGCATAATTACTTCACACATATTTTACTGGATGCATTTGTTGTGAGAACAAAAATTAATAAACAATAATAAAGAAGTCACTAATGGGCTAAATCAATTTTTTAACATTTAAATACTCCTTTCAGAGGTGAAGCAGCAACTACTTGTGACAAAAATAAAGCTCTGGTATTAATCCCAGTAGCTCTGTGCTGTCCATAAGGGAAGAACTGACTCTCCGAAGAAAATGTTACATCTCTCAGACACAGAAGGAACCACTGAAAAATCCAGAATAAGTATATTTTAAAGTACTGGTTAGCTAACAAATATTTCAAATTCAATTAAAACAAAGACTGCATAGATGACAACATATTTTAGTGATATTCAGTAACACAAAATTACAATTAAAAAACTGAATGTTCACTATGTACAGAATAGTTATTTATTCAAGAGGAAGTATAGTAACCCAAGTCATAAAGACATATGTTACCATAAAAATTCCCATTTACTAACAAAGTAATAGTAAATATAAATAAAAATATGGAAAATGCCCAATGCAGGTCCCTCCCTACATTAGTCTAAGACGACAGAGACCTCAGTTGAAGAGTTCTTCCCTAAAGACCTGATTTCCATAGGCAGAAAAACATATTTCTCATGATAACAGAGTCCAGAAAATTTAGAAGCAGGAATTGATTCTGCCAAGGAAAATTAGAAATACTTCTTAAAAAATATTTTATGGCCCAGCATGGCTCAGTGGTTGAGCATCGACCTATAAACCAGGAGGTCATGGTTCCATTCCCGGTCTGCCCCGGCTGCAAGCTTGATCCCCGGTGGGGGCGTGCAGGAAGCAGCCAATCAATGATTCTTTCTCATGGTTGATATTTCTATTTTTCTCTCCCTCTCCCTTCCTCTCTGAAAGCAATAAAAATATATTTAAAAATAGATATTTTGTGATCCTTAGAATATATATTTATTTATAATAACATATGAAGTTTCTGAAAACATCAAAAAGAATACAGACCTTTGAGATCTGGCCTATTTCGTATACCCACTGATACAAAGAAGCAATCCATATCAACATGCATTATACAGCTCTGATGTCTGGGTGAACTCAATACTGACATATTTCCTAGAAGGAAAAAGAGAATGTTCAAAACCCAAACTAATTTTTAATATAAAAGTAACAGGTCTAGTTAATTTTACAAATTATATTTTTAAGTGCTTACAAGTAGGAGTCTTAAAAAATATAGAACCTATTATAGATTATTTCTATCACCTCAAGAAAAGGAAAATCTCAGTTTCTTTAGCTCTAAAAGTAGTTCAAATACAGACTGAGCTTCCCAATTAAAATCAATTTTCATACCATGTTTTCTTCCTAGTGTATATTCTAATAAAGTCTCAAATTAACAATTTGTCTAATGCTTAACATTTCTGTGTGCTATTTTATAAAATTGTATAAAGGTGTTTTTATATACTTAGTTACATAGAGCTCAGTAACTTCAAATGTAGTCTACAAATATTCTTTGATAAAATAAAAACTACTGCCATTAATGAGTGCTTGGTAGGTGTCAACCACTGTTGCAGGAGGTTTACATGTGAGAATTTCAACACTATGAGACAGGCAATCTTATTATCCTTATTTTACAGATAATAACTTGCTTATTAAGTCACACAGCCAGTAAGAGACTGAGCTGGCATTCAATCCCATGCAGTCTGATTCAGAGCCCTCAAGCCACAATAAAGTTGTTCTAAACAGACACACTTAAAAAAATAACTAAAGAAGCAAAATCTATGTGTAAATTCTCTTCATGCATTTAAACACTATCAAAAGTCAGCTCTCACCCTTATATGAGTGTTCTCTCCTAAGGTCTCTGGCTTCTAATCATCCTGAGCAACAGGGAGGCTATCGGGTTAGTTTAACTCTAATCCAGCCACAACCAGAGCTTTCCTCCCTATCAGTCTCACCTTACCCTTTCCCCTCGCCCTGCAGGGTGGACAGCCTTGGAAATATGACCCCTGAGATTATATAAAGTTCTGGTCTCATAAAGGAGTTTTCCTCTGGTGGATTAAAGAATACTAGTACTGAAGTTTTCTCTTCACAACAGGCTTCCAAAAACTTACATCTACTGCCCAAAAGGTTCAGGCCACTCCATTTATTAAATTCTGACTGCAACGCATTTACGTAGTTCTGTATCACCGGTTCTCAACCCCTTTGGTGGTCGAACGACCCTTTCACAGGGGTCGCCTAAGACCATCCTGCATATCAGATATTTATATTACAATTCATAACAGTAGCAACATTACAGTTATGAAGTAGCAATGAAAATAATTTTATGGTTGGGTCACAACATGAGGAACTGTATTTAAAGGGCTAGAAGGTTGAGAACCACTGTTCTATATGCAAGGCCTCTGAGCCTTTGTTCATGTTATCTTCCTTAAGTTCCCAACCCCACCAGGTGAGCATGATGGAATAGCATTCCACTGCAGGGAGGAAACTGAGACTCAGAGAGGGGAACTGATGTGCCCATGGTCTTGCTTCATGAGAGTAAAAGAGTGAGGGTTTGCGTCAGAGTATGTTATCTACTCCAAAGCCACACAATTCCTTACTACCTTCTATATTACCTTCAAAATTGCCTTATAAATCTTAACAGTATTAATTCTGCTACATTAAAGTATTGTATAAACGATGTAAACAACCCAAAATAATGGTTTTAAATATTCTAGTACAGAATGCATATATCAAATACCTATTGAGTACTTTCATACAAAACTTCCCATTTTATTCCCATTCATGTAACTAATGCATATGAATTCTTTGAAGCTTTCAAAATTAAATGACCTTTAGGTTACAAGGCCAAGGCATGATGTCAAGATAATCTAATACCTGTAACATTATTCTGAAGTATTTCAGAAATAACAAAAAGCATTTAAGAATATGTCAACCAGCAAAACACATTAAAAAAAGAGAGTTCCCTCACTTTCTAGGGCATAACCATGAGCTTCTCTCTGTACCTCAGTTTCCACAGCTATAACTTAAAGGGTAATAGTAGATGTTCTCAGAGATCCCTTCCCCTTGGCGGAGTGGGGGGCGGGAGGGGATGTATAATCTGTAAAAAGCAACTAAAACCTCAAACCAGATACTAATTTATAATAACTGGTACAGAAATATAGATTATTTTTAGTTTTGTTATTTTGATAAGTAAAAAAATTACAATTAACCGATCTACTTATATGTGAAAATACTTAATCCTTCTAAAAGTTCACCACTGCAATTATAACTATGTCAAAGTTATTTAATTATTTAAAAATCATTATGATGCAAGCTTTTAGAAATTAACAGTTACTCTTACCAAACCAATTCATTCTTACAGGACTTTAAGCACTCAATATAATACGTTATCTTTTACATAGTTCAAAACTTAAACTGTTAAGGTCTACATGATGAATGAATGTTGAAAACCTTGTTACTGTTTAAATTAGCTAGAAAATATCAGCCACACTAAAACCTAATTTTGTAAAAATTATTCCAATAAATAAGTTTTCTATAATATTATTCTTTCTGTAAACTATGTAACTTGCTGTTGCCAAAGACTTTTAAGCTTAGTATTGATCAGCATACCAATGATAGCTTAAGAACAAAATGATCAAGAAAAGCTGTTGATTAAGAAAACAATTTTAGTATCTACCTGTGTCAGTTACAACAAGGGCAGACCTGCCTGTTTTCATTTTTTTTAACTTTTCCCTTCCTGGGAAGATACCATTACTTTGTCTTTGTAGGGTATTGACAAACTCAGTTAATTCACACTTCCACGTTGATATGTGATGCAGTCTTGAACGAGAATAGAAGTCTGAAATAAAACTGCAGTCTGAGGGTCTGGATGGCACTGAAGGCGCTGCCTTGCTAAGAGTAGGTCCTGAAGTGCTTTTTGTGCTTGAAGGCCCCTGAAGAGTGGAGTAGTGCGCACCATTTATTTTAGTGTTACTGTGCAAAGATGTTAATGAGAAGGAATTAGTTCTGTGTGGATTCCGCACGGCATCTGTGTTCCTGGTGCTTTGTTGCGACAGCTGCACACTGCAGTCTCTGAAGTCGGTGCTGCTATTCTCAGCCTTCTCTTCCCTCTGGGTAGAGTCTGGAGAAAGCCTGCTGGCAACACTGTTGCCTACAGGCACCCAGCAATCCTGTATCTTTAAGGCACCATTAGAGCTATGAGTGTGGCCATTGAAAATGGCAGGGCTGTCTCTGTGAGGCGGAATCCCGTTTTGTTTCCTTTCTGGAAAGATCTGCTCCAGCTCCGCAAAACTAAAATCACTACTTGCATCTTCTTCATTCCAACTGTTCATTCCATTGGCTTTGATTTCTTTTTCTGTCTCAAGCTCCTTAATTACGTGATTTCTAAAGCAGGGAAAAAGTGTTCTTAAATTAATAATGTCTTAATTTCAAGCTAAAATAATTTTTCATTTAAACATTGTCTTGGTGATACACACTTTGATACCCCCCACTCCAAAAACTGAAAAATTAAGCCACAAGTTTTATATTCTTTTTCTTCCAACAAAGGATAATTTTTGCTAAACCAAAGTAGCAAGAAAACTAGGAAAACTCTAGAACATTCACAGCCTTTTAGTTTTTATTAAGCTTTAGACACCACCAAAGAAGACATACAATGGATTCTTATAAGGTTAAGAAAAATCCAAAAAACTATTTTCAACTACGCTTCCTACCAAAAATTAAATGGAATCTGTAAGCTCTAAATACCCAGTCTGTAACAGTGTCTGGCATGTACTAGGCAGTCAATAAATGTTCCCTAAATTATTGCAATATGAATAACTCCTACAAAATAGGTAAGAAAGTTTGAGTTCTTAATTCCTCCTTTTAATTCCAGTTTTATGTAAGGCATTTTTTCAGCAAATTAAATCCAATATGCTACAACACTGAGGACAGTATTAGTTCCACTGAGGACAAGCCTGACAGACCATATTCATTAATCCATTAATGGGGCCAACTGTTGTACAAATGGATAAAAAAGAAAGAACCAGGTCAATGTGTATGGCTAACTAAGTAAGACTTATACCTAGAAAAATGAGGACACTTGCCCTAGTAATGAGGAAAATGGCATTTCATTTATAAAAAAGCATATTTAGATACCAAGGTGGTCCAAGGTAATCTGGACCAAGTCTCCTGATAACAAGTTTATAAATGCAGGACCAATGACAAATGTTATGCTAAATTTACATCCTGGCTCCTCTAATGTTTGCTTGGTAATGCTCTATAATAAAGACAACATTCATTTGCATTTAAGAATCACCTAAGTAAAAAAACCCAAAAACCTGAATTATGGAGCAATAATTCATTCTTAGAAACAACCAAAGTGTTAATCTAATTACATTTCAGATTTCAGATGCGGGAGCCATAGTCATAGGTGAGATTACCACAGAATTACCAGGTTTAATCTAAAGTCTCTCATCCTAATACCAACATGGTATATTAGTAATGACGGTCTGAATACACAGAAAAACCGCATGCATCAGAACATTACCACCCATTTCTGGGTTGGTTCAGGCTCAGGCTGATTATCTCATGGAATAGGACAGCCAACTCTGAGTATGTCCAACCTCACAAATGATCATGCCAGTGGCAAGGGGAAAAGAAAACCAACTGAAAACAATTAAAAGAGGAAAGAAAAAAAGTCTAATTTTGTTACATGTCAGAGAAAGTCTGCCTTTGAGATAAAGAGAAAGCTATGGAGCAAAATGTCACACAAAAGAATTATAAAGAAATTTGTAAAATGTATTGAACATACCGAAAAACAAAGAGTATAGTAAATAACAAAAGTGGGGTTAGAAAAGTCTTAACATCTATTCTTCTGTGTCACAAATAAGATCCTTCATATTCTACTAACAACACATGCAACAAAAATGCATATATTAGCAGAAAACACCTTGCAAATACACATTGTTTTTGTTTTTCAGTCTAGACAAGTGGATATTTACAAAGTAGCTATACAAGAAATATATAATCAGTAAAGACACATTTAGTAGGCAATAATGTAAAAGTATTAAGAAGTAAAATCAAATAGGTAAATTTTTCCTAAAATTCACACAAAGAATTTCAAAAAACACATATAGGCCCCCTTATCTGCAGTTTCCCTCTCCACAGTTTCAGTTACCCGCAATCAGCTGTGGTCTGAAAATATGAGCTATACAATTCCAGAAAGAAACAATTCATAAGTTTTAAATTGTGCACCTTCCTGAGTAGCCTCATTACTGAGGCATTTTATCATCTCATATCATAAAGCAGGGTGCGTACAGTACAATAAGGTATTTTAGAGAGACTTTATTCATTTAACTTTTACTACAGTTTATTATAACTGTTCTATTTTACTTTTAGTTATTATTGTCAATCTCTTACTGTGCCTAACTTATAAATTAAACTTCTATCATACGTGTGTATGCACAGGAAAAAACATTGTATATATGGTATTTGTACTATCCACGGTTTCAGTCATCTACTAGGAGTCTTGGAACATAATCCCCTGTGAATAAGGGGGAACTACTGTATCTATTTTTCTACTTTTATTAGTGTGAGAAAAAAAATATGAAGTTACGTATTCAAATGTTTTCTGGCATTACTTGTACACCTTCATAGTACTAAAAAAATTAAAAGTTTTAGGTAACGTGAAATCATCTGAATATGCTTAGAAATGAATACATGTTAAATAACAACAAAAACTACAGAAGGTAGTGATATTGGATACTCCCAGGTTAGATTCCTGGTCTTGTTGAGAAAAGATATATCCAATTCCCAAAGCAAGCAACTTAATAAATAAGGAGAAGGCTGATGGTAATAATGAACCACCTGATATACAAGTTAAGGTAACACACCAATTAATTTAAAATCAACTTACCCAGGATTATTGCAATTAAAGCTTAAACCAATATATGTGTAAAAATCAGTCACATGGGATAAACTCTAGATTCACCTTGAACTCTATAACATTTATGGTCACCAACTAAATTTTTATTAATATTAAATATTTACATATTTAGAACTGTTATGAATTTGGACTTTTTCAAAAATAACCTGGAAATATTAACATTTTTGTTAATTGGCTTTCTATGCATGACACATAACAAAAGTATAACTGGCATAGTTAATTCAGTTTTTGAGAAAGCAACATTCTAATCAAATTTCTTGTAAGGAAATAATTACATTCAGAAAAATCTATAGAAAATTTTACTTCTTTCTACAACTAGGAGGAAAGAGAAAAGCATACTGAGACTCAGAGGAGGCGCAGTGCTGAAGTAAAATACTAAGGTGCAGAGTGCATGCAGAGCCGGCTGGCAGCTGAGGGCGTGGTTGTTTTCAATCAGGAGGGAGTCTCAGGCTCTGAGCTCCAGTTCCAGGCGAGTCTCTAGGGACCCAGAATCATACCGGAGAAGCGGGACTATCTGGCAGCATTCGGAACTCGAGGGCAGCTTTCTCTCCGTGGGGCTTGCAGCGATTACTGGGACACTGAGAAGCAGAGCCTCTGAGGGCAAGACTGAGAGCAGCCATAATTGCTAACGCCACCCGGTTGATCCCGGTTGATCCCGTGGGACCCTCCCCACCCAAGCCCTGCAGGGAGACTTTTGCTGGATAGCCTCAGGCAAAGGCTAGATTAGCACCTCCCTAGAGATCAAGGAGCCATGAAGCCCAGAGGTCAGAGTGGAACCATAAAAGACACACTCAGGGGGCAGGCTCAGTGAGCACCAAAGCCCCATCGAAGCAACTCTAGCCCCAGAGGGGTGTCTCCAGCACAGAAGTTCTCCCACTGCAGACACAGCTGATTCTCACAGACAATTGGCCTGGAGGTCAGTTCCTCACAGTGATAACTACAACAATCAAGGCTTAATTACAACAAGACTGTGCACAAAGCCCACAAGGGGGTGCACCAAGAGTGTCCACCTCAGGTAATTGGGACACTTAGCACAGAAAGGCACTCTATCGC